AATTGACACTGAAGAAGGTAAGGGTGGAAACCGGTTTCATTTTTCAGAGGGTTGGAAGGCTGCGCTGCGCCCGCCGCGGCGGCTCCCGCTCCGGGGGTAGGAGGGTGGGGGAGTGATTATGTATGCACCAGCTAATTCTTCCATCAAAACTTCTTGTCAGCGATGTCAGGATTATTTTTTTTCCTTTTTATAAAAACACTTGATGTTTCAGGAAGTGTTAATCCCTGAAGGTTGGGGGATGAGGGAGGGGGTAGGGAAGGAGTGGGTGGGGGTGACATGTTTCTCGAGCCTGGGGAAGGCACCCTTTAGAACCGTTTGCCTGTCTATACCCGGATTTGTTGTGGAACTGGGCACCAAAAGAGGGTTTCTTTGAGTCACAGAAAAGAGAGATCCTTAACCTTTATACTGCGTTTGTTGAAGGTCCCTGTGGCCTTGTGAGAAGAGCTGAAAAGTTCGCTTTAGCTTGTGGTTTCAGGATGTTTAACCCAGGCAATGTGATGACATGGAATAAAATGAGAATACTGAAATCAGTTTCAAAAGACACAGACTGAAAAAGATGGACGGAAGGATAAAAATATACGGGGTGGCTAGATTGCTTCTTAATTTTTGTAGATCAAGTACCCCAAGTCTTATTTGCCAGGACCCAGACCTACCTTTCCTTATGTGACAAAAATTGATCATTTTATAAGGGGAGAGATTAAGTTAATTTACACATTTAATGACTCTAAGAATAAAATCATACATCTGTATATCTAGGTGGGCTGAGGAGTTTTGAAACTTTTTGTGGCTATGAAGATGAGTATAGAATAGGGAAGGCTGAGGAAGTGTCTGAGCCAGGCCAGGTAAAGTTCCCCAAGAAAGAAAGAAAAATAAAACATAATAGCGGTGAACAATAAACATGTTTCCAATTATATATATGTGTGTGTGTATATATATGTGTGTATATATATACATATATGCATACATATATATATGTATTCAATTTTACCTAAATTTAGGAGCTGGGTACTTCCATAATTAGGCTACTATTTGCAAGACCACTCAGTCCCAGGTTTGTGAAAATCAAGACCAGTGAGGAGGGGGCTAGAGATTGTTGCTTCCATCCCTCCACCCCCATCCTTACCCCTTTTAGAGTGGTGTATAAGAGAAGATATTAAAGAGGTATCTGTTGTTTGGCAATTTTGCTAAGTCTGTCTTCATTACTTCGACGCTATGCATTTGCTAATTTGGAGGCCCAGCCATTGACAAGCTTGCTCCATACACCTGCAAGCAATTTGCCGACTCCGGTATGGGAGAATTGCAGAGATGGCAGCTCGCACCTATTTGATTTTTTTCCCCCTTTTCTCAATGCACAGCAAATTTGGCTTTCAGTGCGTTATCTCTTTTGTTAATGCAAAAAGATTCCCTGGGCGAAAAAATTGCTCATAATTACCAGAGAGATGGGGAAACTGCATTAGAATAAATAAACCTGAAATTACTGTAATTATGTTGTGTTTGATGGGCCCGGCTTGTAATCAAGAAGAGAATACAGTGAAATGATGCTGACCCTCTTGGGTTTGCAGCTGTACGCGCACTTTGGGGTCTTTTTTTGCAGAAAAGAGTCATTTTGATAATCATTAAGCTGTGTGTAACCTATTTCAGAAGTGTTTTAAAATGAGGTTCACATTTTTCGAACAAGGGAAAAAATCCCAAAATTGCATTTTGCCATTACAGACTCATACATAAGGAAAGGTTGTGTTTTCTAAGTGACAATTGTTAAGACATAATATTCGAAATCAGTATTTAATCATTATAATGAGGTATTGTTTAAATATAACCACCTTTAGATTATTCATAGTTTAATTAATATACTCATTATGAAAATCTTTGAATCAGATATTTGATGAACTACTTGTCAGTAACAAGGCAGCATTAATTAGGCCTATATTGAGATTAACATTTTTTAAAAGTACAACTGCTTATAATTATAATAGAGCCTAACTAAAGACCGCCTTCGTTGAGCTAAAACTAATAATTTCTCTATTTGAACTGTTAGCAAGAGATTATTAAATTAGTATAAGCTAATATCTCAAAGTATTAAAATTCGCTTGACCAAACAGATTTTGCCTGTGGCTTCAGGCACTGGGGCTATGGTTACCCTCTGGTGTACCCAAGCCTGAGGCTAGAGAGTAATGCTACTCAGCCAAAACTTCCCCTTAGCAAAGTCACATCTAGCGAGGGAAACCCAGTCCAGAAAGACCCCTACAGTGCGTGGGAGCCCAGTCTTGGAAATCTGTTTCTTCTGTCAGCTTTGAGGCCCTTTTATTCACCCGGTATCCTGGTCTCCGAGGTCTGGTCTCCCCCCATTTGTGCTCTAAATTCTGGGGCCCTGCGGGAAACGGAAGCCCCAGACACTATGTACCCACTACCTCCACTGCTCTCTCCATCACCCCCACCCTTCATGTCTCCTCCCCTTTTCAAAGGGCGTCGGAAGAGCCTGGCGCATCTGATCTTTCACCAGCACCAATTGAAAAATGGGTGCTTGTCACAACACAGATCACTGCCTTCGGCGCTCAGCTCCCCACCGAGCTCTGCAAGGGCCCCCCCAAAGGCGGAGGGCCTGCTCCCGCTGGGAAGCAGTGCCTAAAGGCGGCAAGAGGGAAGCGTTCAAAGACAGCCGTCGGGGGCCGCAGCTTTCCCAGGTTTCCTCAGCTCTGCGGCAGGATCTGGGGGTGGCGTTTAGTTAAGGCGCTGGGTGGAGGAGGGAGACTGCATTCTTCCGGCGTAAACTGATGAGAGTTTCCCAGTGGAGATGGCCCCTTAATGATTTGGCCTAGGGACCAGGCCTCAGGCCTTTCGGGCTGTAGTAGCACACGCTTATCTTTGATTTGCAGAGCTCCGGATTCCAACGAAGTCAGTGAAGCCCTTACGGCTCCACCCTTGGCATCTCCATTTCTCCTAGGCTAAGAGAAAAGCCTGACTTCGTTAGGCAGCGAAAGGGCCTCTCTTTGTTGTTGGGCCCCGGGTGGAGTGGGAGTGTCTGTGGAGGGGCTCCAGAGCGCTTTGGGACTGTCCCCGGGAGCTAGCTGATTGATGGGTGTGGAGGGAGGAGGATAGTTTGACAGACGTGCCCTTCCTGCCGGTTTCCGGGGCGTCTGGCCTAGTCTTTTCCGAGTCAGGATCCAGGGCCCTCAAGGCAAACCGAAGAGGGGCAAAGGCAGTGTCTCCACTTCCAGGCTTCCATGCTTCTCAGGAGATGACTGGATTTGGGGGTAATGGGGGGGAGGGCTCAAATCTTCAGGTGGTTGCCTCAGAGTTCAGCTTTCATCTCTTCTCAGCTACCTTCATGGATCCTTTGGCACCTGAGCTCTGGTTTTGCTAAGGCGCACCTGTTCTGATGCCCTTTCCCAGAGGCCCTTGCCATACATTCTCTCCCCACCCTTATAGCCCAGGTAGCAGTTGGCATCCTTGGGTGGCAAGAGTAAGGCAAGAGGAATGGTACCAGCAGCAGGGTATCATACTAGGCACCGGGTCCTTTATCCTGGTATGTCTGAAACCAGGAGCACTGTCTTGCTTTACCTGTCCCCATAGGTGTATGTTCAGCTGGCCCCCAGCACCCTCTCATACAGCACACCAAAGAGCAGCTTTCTCGAAACCATAATTTTACTGTTTCAAAGAAACTTTATAACTTATTTACAAAGTTCTTTTTTCCCCAAGATACAAAGCAATAAGTTAACATTCTCAATATAAAACTAAACTTTGACATAGAGAACACAAAACACGGTTGATTTCAATTGATCACATTTTCCAAATTTCACAAGTAAAATGTCAAGATTCTCATTTCACAAAGCATCAGGTTTTACAGCCACACACAACAGAACGGAAAAAAAAGCTAAGCTTGTGCAACATGTTTACAGAACAATAATAATAATAATTAATAACAACAATAATATGTACAGCGATTTGATCCTGCACTGGAGACTGTCATTTCAGGGCAGTGACTGGCATTATTCTGTGGCCAAGCCATTGGGGATTGTTGTAAAGCTGCTTTTGTCTTACTTTTAAGTTCACTGGCATTTGGGCACTCACACATGCCTGCCTGTTTTCTCTCCCATCAGTCCTCTCTCTCTCTTTCTCCTTAAGGAGTAAATTATGACTTTCCTTTTTGTTTTGGCAAAGCGAGGACACATCTTCTTGAGATGAGAAAATTGTGTTGGCTTCATTTCTCTTTTTTCTTTTCAAAATAACACGGGACACATAAAAAATGCAATCATTCTGCTCCAACCTCTCCATACCAGCGAAGTACAAAAGTTACTCTATAAGTTAAAAATCACCAGGTCCTCCTTACTCGTTTTTTCCGGGTGCATTTAAAGGGATTGGTACGTTCAGTCAGGGGGTCCTCAGTCCCCATAGAATCGCAAATTGGTCAACATTCAGCCTCAGGCAAGTCTAGTTCTCAATAAATAAAACCCCCTCCCTCCAACATCCCCCAATTATCGAAGGCTTTACACAGACGATTAGGCAGGCCCAGAAGGTCCAAAAGGACAAAATGTCATGTCCCAGTATCAGGAACTTGGCGGCTCTAGGCCCTGTCCCCCTCTGGCTGGGTGACTTTTTGCAGAGGCCATAGAACGAAGACAACGGACAAGCGAGGACCTCGACTTCCTCAGCGCACAGATACAGAGCGAAAGGAGACAAGAGACGAACAGGACAGAAAAGAGCTTTTGCTTTTTCTACAGTTTTTGTTATCTTCCTGACAGTCCCACGCAACTGAGGGACGGCGGGTCGGGTTCAGCGGGCTCAAGTACTGCTCGCACTATCTCCATGGCTGTGCTTGGGCTCTGAGGCCGCTCTTCGCTGAGACCACACCGCCCAGATCGGGTTCGGGTGAGGGCATGGGCACCAGGAAAGTCGCCAAAGCAGACCGAGCTGATCTCTGTGGAGGCGATGGGCTCCTTGCCTTCACTGTTCGTTCTTCTCTCTCTCTGGGCCCTTCTCCTCCCGACCATGGCATGTAGACGGGGTTGGATGGGCCTGGAGGCAGGAGGGGCCCGGGCCAGGGGAGACAGGAAGGAGGTGGGCTGGTTCAGGCGGGCAACCTCACATAAGTTGGGGTTGCTGCATAGCTTCTTGGTGTGCTGAGGGGTACCATGACGTGTAGCTGGGGATGTAGGAGCCCGCGCTGCCGCCTGAGCCCTTCGCGGATGAAGAGTTGGGGTTCCAGCCCGGCGGCACTGGTGGGGAGCCGGCAGACAGGGCCCGGCCGTTGGCCAGTGCGCTACCCTCCAGAGCCGCCCCGCCCTGCTTCATCAGCTTCTTGAACTTGGAACGCTTATTCTGGAACCAGATCTTGACCTGCAAGAACCGACAACAACGTGACTCGGGCTAGGTCCATTGTGTCCACTGCGGTGGCGGTGGCAGAGAAAAGAGGACCATGAAACAGTGGAGAAAGGATCCCCACCTCCCCCTCTGCCCTCCAGGACCCGACAGTTTTTTGCTGGAAGTAGCAAAGTAGAGCAGCACCACTACTCTTAAAGAACCAGAAGCTGGGAGGCCCGACCGCCCGCGGTGAGCAGCGACAGCTCTCAGAGAGCCAGGGGGCGTGGTGGTGAGGTGTGAGCAGTGATCCCGGCCTTCCCCTGTCAGGGACTCAGCCGGACCTCGCAGTCGGCAGCCAACCGATGAAGTCGCAGAGCCTGCCCAACATGGAGTCATCAATTCCAATAAGAACATCAGTAAAAGAATCAAGTGGAGGAAAGGAATGGAGGGAATTTATTTGCAACGGGACACTCCTCTTTGCGCCATCCTTTCTGCCCTTGAGTGAGTTTGGGGCTGGCTGAGGATGTCACAGGACTTTTGTGAAACTTTTCATTTGGATAAAGCAATCTTTTCCTTAGCGTGTTTTTGCTCTCCCCAGCTGCGCACCATATCCCGGCCCAGACGTTGGAAACGCGGACAGTCCTGATCAGAACGCCCCGGGCCTCCAGGGATCTTAGAAAAATCCGGGAAGGAAGGTCTGGTTTCTCCTTCAGGGTCTGGGACTTGGGAGGTGAGAGGGCAAGGGAAAGATGCCCCCTCCACACACACGGACACAGTCGGGGAGGAGGTGGAGGGACACAGAGGCTCCGGTCCAGGCCAGGAGTGATTAGTCACACACTTTAAAGGCAAAGAAGGGATTAAGTCCCGCGTCCATTGTTCCAGTTGTTCGGGCACGTGTGACCTCAAAGTCCCAAACAAAACATCTAGGGAAATCCTTCCTGCGCCCTAATCAGATTGTCTCGCGACTGAGGGCCGCACGGTAGGCAATGCCGGGTACAGAGTACAGGGATAGAATCAGAGCAGAGAAGAACGAGGGAGGAAGGAGACGCACGCTTGCGCGCGCGTCCAGACACACACACTCACACACTCACACACACACACACACACACGACACCCGGGAGGAAAAAAAAAAAGAAGAAGCTCCAGGACTACTGGCCGGTCGCGAGTATGCCTGCGTGGCGGAAAGGCAGCTGCAAGGTACCTGAGTCTGCGTGAGTCCCAAGGAGGCCGCGAGCTCCGCCCTCTCCGGCAGAGCTAGGTACTGAGTTTGCTGGAATCTCCGGTTCAGTGCCTGCAACTGCAAACTGGAATAAATCGTCCTGGGTTTTCGGATCTTTTTCCCTTTGCCATTAAATCGCACTTCACCACCTTCCACCACGGTGCTCTTCTCAGAGTCAGCCCCTGGAGGGACAGCAGAGCGGGACCGTTGTTAATGCGAGGCACAGCTTTTAGTGAGGGAAGCCAAAAGCTAGGTGCTACCCACGGGTGGAGGAAACAGAGCCAGGAAAGAGAAAACACTCAAGAAACTCCGAAAGCCAGGGAAGGACTCCCACAAAGTCCAAGGCCCGACCTGGGCCGCTGCAGGCCAACTGGGGCAGTTCCCAAGCGCTCAGCTTCTGCCTTTGCAGAGAAAGTTTGCTATTTTTGCAGGCGGTAGTTGAGGTTTAATTACCCTTAATTGCATACATTGTTTATAGCGCTACGCAATAAATAATTACCGAGACTAATATGTGCACATGTGGGTTTCTGTTTTCAGCCCGGCATTGTGTGTTTCACGCACCGAGCCTCCCAGAGGCTCACCCAGTATCAGGGGACTCTCTCGGCTTTATCCTTTGCGGGATAGTTGCGAGCTGGTGGAATTTTTTTTTTTTTTATTTCTTTGCTATGCAAGGATCCATAGATTGATACCTGAAACCTCCACTGTTCTGGCGTCCTCCCCACCCCCACCCCATCTGTCTCCCCTCTCCCTCCTCTCTCTCTCTCTCTCTCTCTCTCTCTCCCTTTCTCCCTCCCTCCCTCCCACCCTCTCCCTCCCTCCTTTATTCCCCTTCGTACCTCTTCCTCTCCCTGGCAGGCACACGTACCTGGATCCTCTAGGCGACTCTGGGCGAGGCTGGTGCTGCCCGGGTAGGACTGCACCGAACTGATGTAGGGACTGGACGCGTGGCTGCTGACCGAGTTGACGTAGGGATAGCCCAGCGGTCGGGAGAAGGACGAGGCCGAGCTGTAGGCGCCATCGGGCTGCGAATGGCCCGCCGAGTGTAAACAGTGCATGGAGTAGTGCCCGTGGGACATGGGAGAAGGAGACATTTGCTGGTTGGGCGGCCCAAACTCCATAAACACCGCCTTGCCCGACACAGGGCTGTTGAGACTTTCTGGCATGGTGGTCATGGTCATCTCTTCTCGCGGGGTCTGAGTGTGGGTCTCTCTCTCTCTCTCCTCTGCTTCCCTTCCTCTGCTTTCCTTTTGGGGGTCTCTGTGTTTCTCAGGACAGGAAGGAACCCAATTTAAGCGGAACAGGGGTTTTCACTTTCCATTCATAAGAAAATGGAGTTTGTCTCTTTGAAAAGTCTAAGCATGATGCTGCCGAGCTCCCCAAACTCGCTTCAAAGCTTTGACTCAGCCAAGGTCATAAATATTCATGACTGGCGGAGCTGATTGGTCCGCTGTCGTGCATAATCACCGGGGATTGGTCCGAGGTCCTCCGGCTCCGCTGGTCTAGAGCGGGCGAGGCGGCCCGGCCTCGGGAGAGACGCGTCCACACTTCCCGGCCGGGGCTCCTCTGCAACAGAGTGCGCCGTGTGGGGCGCACAATGGACTGCGGCGCCCGCGCAGAGACCTAGGCGGCCCGCGGTGCTCAGCTTCCCGCCTTCCCGACGCGCGGTACTTACCAGAAACCAACTAGCGGTTCGGCGCCGCCACCCAACCCCTCACCACTTAAAGTCCCCACCCTTCGCCCGCCCCCAACACCCGGGACCAGGGTACCGCTTCTGACCGCCACCGCCGGCTCCTGCATGAACTAGGGCGACTCTGGAGCTAGGCTGCGGCCTCCGGAATACCCGGTCGCGCGATGGGGGAAGGTGCCCGCTGTAGCCAACAGAGCGCTAAGCTCCCCTGCGTCTTGTGCCTAGAGCAGCGCTCTCCTGGCGGCGCCTCCCTGGTCAGGGTCGACTCTGCCCCCTCTCTGGGGTCGGGTTTGGGGCCCTCCAGGCGAACTCACTCACTCGGCCGCCGCGCCGCCGCCGCCGCTCCCTGGGGCCCGCTCGCATTGCTCCAGGCCCAGGTGGCCACTCTAGCTCGAGGCTACACCGGTCTGATTAAAGCAGTGAACGCGGAGAGCCAGGAACCCGCGCTTCTCCTCCCAGGAAAGGCGGCCGCACCGCCCCCTCCCCCCAACACACACCCCCTCTTTCCCTCCCAACCTTCCTCCGCCTCCCCCTCCCTCTCCACTCCCTCAGCGCCCAGCGCCGGGGGCTCATTCGTCCCGAGGGTGCAGCGTAGAGTGGAGCCTTGAAGTCGACGGATTCTGTTCTGCTACGACTGAAGATGTCAGGTGGTCATTTTTCGACCTCCTGGGGTCTGGAGAAAGTGCCAGGGGTTGGGGGGGGCGGTGAGTAGGAGTCCTGGGATACACCAAAACCCGTGGCCAACACAGGCCAGCGGTCTTGCAGATCATGTGTGTAGACAAGTTCCTCATTGTCGCCCAAGTTGCTTCTCATCTCTAGCGGTCAAAGCTGGCAGCACTGGACCTGAGGGCAGGGCTGATGGAGGCAGCCGCCGAGCCTTCGGTCTTCCCCGGCGCTGGGTACAGGAAAACGCACAAAAGCCCCCAGCTGCTACCACCACGCCGCCACCCTAGCGAGGCGTGGCGTGCACCACGCTGGCTGCAAGGGGCTGTTGGTTCCCTATCCCGCCAGCCCCACGGTGAATCCCAAATTACTTTGTTAGGTAATTAGAAAGTGTTGATAATTATTTCTTTCATAATTTAGCTGTGTGACGGGAACGGGGAAATGATCTTGTGAAAGTTCACACGTGCAGATGTATTAGTTACTGATTCATTTGATTAAATGGTAGTCTCAAGTGCTCGGATCCGCAGCTGAAGGCGCCCCATTAGCATAACACTGATGTTTAATTTTCATACGCATAATTAGCCATATATTTAACACTAATAGCAACATGCAGCCTTTCAGCGTTAAACAGCTCGGGATTTGATCTGGCCTGAGCTGAACCTTCGCCGATGCACCTTCCCCTGTCTGGAGTGCGCAATGATCACAGGACAAACCTCTGTAATCAAGCACATTTTGGCAGAGGGAACACCAATAAAAATGAACATTCAAAACAAATTACATCGGTGCTGTCGTTACAGATATTAGTGGAAGGGGCTTCTCTCTCTTTTTTAACTTCTGTAGCAGCTGCTGCCGCCCGCGGAATTCCTCTCCTTTGGTTTAAGGGCACGATGTTGGGGGTAGAAAATTTTCAGGCAACGTGGTTGGAGCAAAAAGAAAAACAAAAGCAAACAACAACAACCAATCCTCCAAACCAGTAATGGGTTTGACAACGTTTTAAGATTTTTTTTTTCTTAATCACCGAACCACACGGTGAGGCTTTGTAGCAACAACCAGCTAATGACTCCTCCAGCAGACAACTCCCGAAGCCAGCAACTCGACTCCTCTTGACTTCCAAGTTGCACTTGTGATTCTAATTGCTCCTTCCGAGCGCCCGTTTTGGGGGTGTGAAGTGCGGTGCACCCTGCACAGCCGCACGGATGCTGCCGGGGCGTCTGGTCTCCCGCGCTCGCCTCGCGGGTCCTGCCCACGTAAGTGATCCCGGCGGCTGGTGCAGGGTGGGTGTTGGGACGAAGAAGCAGGGCTGAACTACTCCAGGTTCTCCGAGCAACGCTGAGGAAACCCGACGGCGGGCCGCCCAGGGACGGTTTATTCCGAGAACTGCAGGGGGGTGGGGGGAAGGGGTTAGGGGCGGCCAAAGGTGGATTACAGTCTCCAAAGCTTTCTGTCCGTCCACATTTGGAGTGGTACCCAAGACTTTCGCAGCGCAAGGGCCGGAAGGTGGATGGGTGAGGGGGAGGAACTGGCTCCAGGGAACAAAGGACCCGCACGCGCCCCATCGGGAAACGGTTTCAAAGTCTTGCTTATTTTAGAATGAAAAATGTGGGGGCGAGGCAATGTCTACGCTCGGGAATTGTTTCTTAGCCCCAGAGAAACAGGTCCGGGTAGGAGCGGTTGTTGAGCCAGGGCCTTCCGGCGCTGAGACACCGAGGCTTGGACCTCAATGTGAGATCTTATCTCTGAGTACAGATTGGACCCCTCCCGCCACCCATCGCTAAAACACCTGTTCTAAAATGTCGGTTTGCTTAGATCTTTGCCAGCCCCAACGCTGAGAGGAAACAAACTCTCCCATTTATCCAGAGTCCCGGATTCCCAGTAGAACCTGTTGAAGACACCGCAGGACCCGGTTCCTACTGGTGCTAGCTGTAGCCACCGTGGCTGGAATTCCCACCACGGCTGGGTGAGGTTTGGGACCAGTTCGGCTGGCACGGGGGGGGGGGGAGCAGGGCAGCGTAACAAGTTATTTTAAAATATGCTTTCTAATTTCCCCTTCAAAGTATGTTAAAGGGAGTTGGTTCTAATTCAAGGTCTTAGCTGTGGAGCTGCTGAGTATTGACTGGTGTGGGTATATATACTTACCTATGTATATATAATGTGTACACTAAAGTTTACTCACTTTAACAAATGGGATTATAAGCTTGTTCCATAAATTCTTTCACCTAAGAATAGTTGCTGCGTATGCAACTGTTATCCCAAGGGTTGGTAAAATCCTGGGTCCTACCAAAATTATTTATGGTGGACATCTGAATAAAGTGATCTGTTGATAAGAGGAGCTAATCATAGCAACTGGATTTCTCGAGGAGAGAAGTGAAGTCACTCTCTGGTGCACCTCTCCTAAAGCTTTGTTCACCTCTTTAGAGAAACCTGATTGTTCTCCTGCAATAGCCTCAGTTTCTAGGCCTTTGCTTGACCAACTTTCCAACATACCAAAAGTTTTTCTGTAGAACTTGTAAATCTTCAACTCCTCCCTCTTCTTTTCCAGTTCTCAGATTCACTAGGTCCACTAGAATCAGAATGCCATATGTCCAAATTTCACATCCCTGGATGTAGAGAAAGAGAGCAGGAAGAGCTGGAGATCACCCAAGAGAATCCCAAGTTCAGGGGAAAACCAGAAAACAGGAACTAGCCACTGAACTTACTTTCTTATCTCCTGTTTCCACCACTCTAAGTATCACAAAGACATGCTAGTTCTCAGGTCCTGGAAACACAGGTCAGGTCAGCACAAGCAGCCACTTTTCTGAGGAGCTATCTAGTCCAAGCTTTATTTAGTGGAAAGCAACTTTGTAAAACCCGCTTCAGTAGAAACTTTAGGTAAAAACACTTACCCAGACACCTTTCCTGGACTTGTTTGTAAAACCATGACCAGAGGGGAATTGTTTCCTAGGTGGCCTGTTAGAGGCCCAATCCCTCTCTACTCCAGAACAGAGATGTGAGCTGGTCCTGGAGGACATGTGTAAGGTAGGGAAGGTATTCAGGAATAGGAATAGGAATTGGGAGACAGAATGTAGGCCACTGGGTTTCCTGTTTCTGAAGCAGGTGGAGATGCTGGTGGCCCAGAGGAGTTCACTAGCTGCAACCCCACTAGTTAAGCTCTTGCCCTCCTACAAATAGCTTCTCTTGCTGGGATCCTCTGGGTTACACCATGTGTGCTGGCCCCCCCAAAAAATAAAGAGGTCTATTTAGGAGCTAGATCTAGATCCATCCTACACTGTTCCCATCTGGGTAGGTGGAGCTGGTGTGTCTGGTCTCAAAGCAAGTTTAGCCACCAGTGTGCAGGGAGGGTCTCAAAAATTTGCTCTGAGTTGTCTGGGCAGGGCAAGGTGCCCCGGGGAAGGAGGTGCCCAAGTGGACTTGGAAAGTCTGTTTTTAGATTGATAAAGACTTGCAAAAGTGCCAGGGCTGAGGTCCATTGAGGCAAAGAAATATTTGGAAGGAGACATCCCATTCTGGGGTTAATCTTTTCATTGCAAAAACAAGAAGGGGAAAGAACCAGAAGAGCTGAGGGGCAACTGCCCTAGGGAGTGCCCGTGGGAACGCCAGTGTGTGATCCACAAGGGTGGAAGTCTAAAAATTACTAGCTAACAGCCTGGGGTTTTTCTTTTAGTGTGCGTGCGTGAAAACTTCGAAATTCAAAAACTAATCACCTGTTCCCCATCTCCCCGCAACTGTCAGAGATGAAAGGAGAGCAGACACTGTGGGTTTAAGAGGTGAAAGCCTTTTACTTGGGCAGAGTCAAGACAAGGGAAAGAGAAAATCCTGTTCCTCTAGGAATCGCTCGTCTTCCAAACGAGGGCGTCCCACACCCCTTTCACAAACATTTCCAGCGATGGGAAGCAGAGTCAGCAGCCAGTTACATCTCCAAAGTTGCGCGACCCCGGCAGGGTTTTCGATCCGCGTTCTCAACTACCCTCATACCCCAGCGCGCCTTTTCCCCCCAGGGCGCTGCTGGGTGCGAAGTAGAGTACCGCGCAAGCTGGTTTCGCCCTTGTTTTAAAAAAGTTCTTCAGGTGAGTTTCACAGAAGTGAGGGGAAAGGCGCCTGTCCGGTCGATGCTCAAGCCTCGTGGGGCAGTTTGGTTAGGATCTGTGCGCCCTGCGACGTGATGAGAACTGTGTGCTCAAACTGGGCAGACCTGAAACACACACCGCGTAGTTAGGAGGCACGCGAGCGCCGGGGAGCGCCCGCCTGCCCCGGAGCCGCCGCTCGCCAGTGAGGCAGGCCAAATCTTCCCTTCCCTTCCAATTTAAACGCAATGAGGCAGAAGGCAAACACCTTTGATTGTCCAGGGAGATGGCAGTCCAGGCATCTTCCAGGACTTTAAACTCAGGGGATCCCTCGGTTATGATGGGCTCTGTAAGAGGGAAAATAGTTACTGCGGTGATCTAATCAGGTTCTTGTCAAGCATTGTTTCGGCTGATTATCAAAAAAGAGAGGAAGATGGTTCTCCCCCTTCCTTCCAAGTGCCTTCCCCCGCGGGTTCATGTTGTCATCTCGAAGGGTTGATAATTGATGTTGCTTACATAGTATACTACAAACTAAACAGTAGGGAGAGGAAACACTATGGCATTCAAAGATGTATGAAGTTGCCTAGTTCATAATTTTTTAGAAAAAGGGCATTTTAATCAAGCTTTAATTAGGACCCTGTGGATAATAACTACCCAAACACCAGTCCCTTTTATAAATACCAGTCAGTTAAAAAAAATATTTGAATTTTTAAAACCTGTTCAAAATGTGCATTAATCAGCAAATAACAATTTTCTTATTTTACTCTAATTGCTTCTCTATTAAGTCCCACAGTAAGGAATATGATGCCTTGGGGGTCTTAGGTGATTGGAATTTGGAGGTGACACCAATTACGTGATCAGCCAGGAATGGCCTGCCAGAGAGTACATGCCACTTGCTGACAGGGAGCAAGGGACAATAATCACTTCTAGTTACTGGGTGTTAATGAAAAAAAAAAACACAAAAACAAAACAAAAAACCAAACATGACATTATGCTGGTAACAGAATTAGAGGTTGGACGGCTGCCGTCTCCTAAATGTGTCGGTAAGTATCTGATTTAGGAAGATGAGGCTAGAGGATATTATTTAATCAGATTTACTATGCATCTGAATTATTTCATTATGCTGATTGGTTTTATTAGTCCTTCACGGGACTGCCTGGCTTAGGCCAAGGCTGCTGCTTCCGCCTGGGAGCCACAGCTCACTGAAGAGGAACCCAGCACTGACCTATGGTAAACGCCATGCCCTCCTCCATGAGTAGATTGCTGTCATTTGCTGCAAAACAAACAAACAAACAAAAACCATTGAGGGGAGATGGGATTGGGAAACCAAGAGGTGATCAGAGACCAACAGAATTAGAGAGGTTTGGGTTACTCAAAAAACTTGATATTTTTTCCCCCTTTTAGTGGAGAAGGGTGGTGATTTCTAGAATCCTGGGTGGGAGGTACCATCCAGGATAAAACAGTGTTCCTGCACCTCAGCCTTTGTATTTTCTGCACTTGGCATCAAAGCCTACCAGGGGCAGCCTGGATGTTTAAAACACCTGTCCAGCTTGCTCTTTCCCCTACCTCCTCGCTACTTACTGGGAGCTCTCAGGCCTCAGCTAGATTCTGGGTTTTACCCCCCAATTCCCATCCCAAAGAGAAGATGTCTGGGGGAATGGATAAAAACGGAGGTCAGTGTAAAGAATAGGACAGGAGTGACAGAAAATCATTCCAAGTGTTGGTGCTGAATAGAACACAAGCCAGAAAGGCCCTTTTCTGCATTTCTATCTGGACCTGTTCTGAGATGCCTCAGATGGGGTTCCTTAGTCCAAGAGAGTTCTGACTTATTGGGGAGCTTGAGCTCTCCCAGGGGGTGCAGTGGTTCCTCTAGAGACTGATCCCATTCCAAGCACATAGGTCAAGGCTCAGAACTTTCATTCGGTCCCTGTCCAGGTGTGTACCCCCACTTTGGAGACACTTCAAAACATCCAGGCTGCCCCAGAATTGCCTCCTACTCTAGCTCTGAGCTCCCCCTCCTCCGCCCACCCCAGCCCACTGCTTCTTTCTCACTGTAGGGCACACACTCAGCCAGTGAAAAACAGGAGATTCTGGGGAAGGAACACAAGGGTGGGTATAATCTAGAAATCACTAAAGAGTACATGCTGCTAAGCACATCAGCTGTCAACGCTATGTAGGATGTAATGAAGTTTAACCACAACAGTCAGTGGTTAGAAAAGGGGGTAGTAAAAGAAAAACAGAAAACAGTCATGTGAATGCCACTGGGACACTGACGCAGTGGCACTTTGTTTCAGTAACTTTTTCTGGACAAATATCCCTTGTGCCTTCTAGCCATGCCCTTCAGGAGGCAAAAAGCAAACTACATCTATTTGGAGATTGAAACTGCTGAGTTCTAATCCAGTAACATAGTAATGTGCTGGTTATGATTATGTAGACACCTCTTTTCCATAAATGCAGATACACACACACAAAATTATAGTGTGGATTCAAAGTTAGAGGAGCTTCAGGAATTGCCTTATCCTGATTCTATTCAACAAACCTTTAAATAGAACAGTTTCTTACCATGATGCCAAATTTCTGGATGTCCATGAAAGTAAGATCCTATCCCATGTCCCACAAAATGTGGGCAGACTTGCAAACCATTCTGATGAGTTATGTGGCTTTAAAAGTAACCCAAAAAATAGTTAAGTAAGTTTTTAATGCATACTTAGATAAAACAAAATCACTTTAACATAATCTCCAAAGAAGAAAAAAAGTTACATTTAGAGTGAGCTGATAGCATTAATAGGTTTTCATTATTCCAGAGTAACTTGAATTGTTTAATTACTTATAACAACTTCTTTAGGGTAGATGAAAGGGGAAAAAATAGGTATCTAACACAGTAGTTTGCTTTATTTACCATAGTACACTTTTCAAACACACTTTTAGACAACAAATCAGGATGCATGCACACATATGTACATCAATATATACATAACCATGACACATGTGAACATAAGGCAGGCATAAAAAAGTTTGGTTTGGATGGGGTTCCATGCAAACACTATGAAAATTACTACTGATCTTTAAATCAAATAGGAAAAAATTATAATCTATAGATGTGACTTCATACTTCCGTGGTTTCCTTATTCTGGTTTATTTCAAAATATATGTTTTACAAATAGGAACACTTACACAAAAACCCAAATCTGCTTTGTCAATGTTCTTGAAACACTACAAAACTTAGTGATCATTTGGGATTTCCACTCAAGATGCATGCCATTAGCAAAATTCATGAACAATGTCTTTAATGACAGTGATGTTTTAGAGAAGCTAGAATTGTGATTCCTAATGCTTCATTATTTCATATATTTCAAATATTTCAGTTTTCTTCCAGTCTATAAAGATGAAATCTGACACATAGAATACAAACCTAAAGTTTTCATCTACCAGGTTTAAAAGCTGTTTTTGAAATCAGATGAACATACATATTTCTGGTAATAACACAATACATAGTAACAATTTACATTTTCATGTGGATGAAGGCCAGAGTATCTTAATCATAGCAATGGATTGGAATTTACAGGATTTCTATTTAAATTTAATATTTAAAGGTTTAATATTTAAACAAAACCAACATTCTTAGATTCCAATCTAGGGTTTTAACAGATCTGAGGGTTACTTTACTGTGAACTCAAAGGTTTTTTTGTGAGCATTTGTGAGTCTTTATGAGTACTTCTGTCAAAAAAACTTTCTTAAGACACAGTTAATCTTCGTCTCCAAATTTGTAAGGTACCTTCACTTAGGCCAGGATGTGATCATAAATCACAGACGGGCAATTTATTCATATTTAATTTTCATAGAACTGACAGTGCAGAAGTAGATAAGCTATGCATGTGTTGAGGACAGATTGCTAAGTCAATGTTTTTATCTTTTAAGTTGCACTTTGTGGTTATGTCTCTGTGTCTTTGCACTCCGGATAGGAGGTTGAAGAATTTTTTGAGGGAGTTTCTATTTGTACTACACCAATTTCTATTTACAAAAAAAAAAAAAAATTGAAAGAGTAGATGGAGAATGCTTGGAGGGTAGAAGAGAAATTATTAAATAATACATAATCTAATTTTTTTTCAAGAATGGTGTTCTACCTAAACCTGTGTTCCTTCAGTTCTAACAATCTTCAATTATTTTAAAAATATTTGATATAAACTGTTCTATTTTCTTTTCTAAAAAATAAAAAAAATCTGATTGTCAGGCATCATGGTTACATTTTAAATGTGTGTGATAATGGCAATCTCCATTTAATTCCCAAAGAGAGGAGAGGAAGAACTCCCACTCTGAAAAAACACTTGGGGCACCCTCCTACCATCACACCTCTCATTCCTCTTCATAAAAGCATCTGTGCAAATATTGGGTGGCTAAAGATATCTATGTACATTCTCCTGTAACATGTCCTGCTTGGATCCCGACAGAACTTCTGGCTATCGAAGTATCATAGCATGTATGTCATGGATGCCTAGTTCAGAGGCCCTCATCGCCAGACAGAAAGAGGAAATGCATAGGACATATTTTCCTCAGTTCCTTGGTTAAGCACCCATTCAATGTTTGGGTCCCAGAAGCTGAGTATATACTTCTTTGCTTTTGGTATTTTTCTTTTGGATTGGTAGTTTTTAACACACACTTACTGGGGTAAAATTCACTCATTTACCTAGTTACTATTTCAGAATGCAGGGAATGCAGGGGAAACTCAAGATCATTTACTAGGCTCTAGGGTTTAAATCTACCTTCACAGAAATAGTGCAAGCAGTCAGTTGCAGCAAATTCCGCTTGAACACAAACACCAAGCAAGCCCAGGGCTGTCTGGGAAGGTGAAGTCTGTGTGCTTCTCTTGGTCAGTGTTTTAGGGAAAATGGAAACTTCTGCAGTGGTGGGCATGAGTGCCCAAGACGTGTTCCCAGTACCTGACACTGCAGGGCCATGACCGTTTCTGAATAAGGGTCTTCTTGCCCTGGACATTTCACAGATGAAATCAGTCTTTTTTTTTTTTTTTTTTGCTGAAATTTACTGAACAGAATGCTCCTGGTATTAGCTGCCCTTTCTGATTTTTTCTAACTAAAAATTCTCTAAGACAATTCAGCTGTTATTCATGAGCCTAAGCACATTAATGATTTGAACTCCTTTATCAGAGATATTTGGGGAGGGAGTGGAGGGACTGGAGTAAGAAGGTGTACTAAGGTAGTTTATAAGGTAACTTTAAAATTATGCTGTGTTATTATAGTTTATGTTTCAGTTATCGTTTATGGTTGAAAGAGAAATCTCTCATAAGGAATTTCATCTTGTGACCATTTTCGACCCCTTAATTCCCTTCACAGACAATTTTCCTCAAAGTATTGTCTAGCTAAATTCAAATTCTAAATATACTTCAATGACATTTTATGACTAAAAATACATTCCCCAAGAGGGCAGAGGAGTACTATATTTAAGTACATACTCTTCTATAGAAATGAAAATCATTTTATTAACATTTTACATGAATCCTATAAAAAGCACTAACCTCTAAATGTTCACAACTTTAATTAAAGAATCTCAAATGGTACTTGATGTTCTAAGTTATAGAATTTTACTTTCACGTTCCCAGTTCTTTAAGCAGTAGTCTTTAAATGGAGGAATGCACAAGCCCAGGGATTCCTTCTAGTGACAAGGAATGTTTAAGTACAATTAGTAATATTTTTGAAAGCCAACAACTGTTTGCCAAAAGAGTGGTATCTCTTTTTGTTTCAAACTGGATCACAAATTACTGTATTTTTCTTACAATAGTGCTGAACTTTTATTTGAGGTTTTCTGTCTCTGAAAAGCAGACATGATGGATTGAAATAAAAGATAATTTATTGCAATGCTTACTTTCATGTGCAGAGAGAAGCAGTGTAATTGTAATTTACAGTAGCTGTCAAGAAAAATCCATCACAGATGACATTAAAATGACTTATTTTGCCTAAGCCACTTATTGTTTAAATGTGCATAATCTAATAGAAAGAGATTATTTTTTTAATCTGCTTTATATTCTTCTAAATTAATATCAAAATATATACTTATGAATTAAACATTAAAAACCATTTATTGATACTTTCATCATGATACAACTATAAGTTTAAATTATTTTTGATTGAACTGTCACATATTTGTGAAGCCTGAATCTACACATCACAATATTCTATGTTCAGATCCTATCATCCAAATATAATTACAAAAATACTAATTTAGAAATATTCTAATGCAAATGGACATATAACAAGTATAGTAACGGTACCCTACAGATTACTAGCCATCCCTCATGAAGCAAAAGGGCACAGAGAGAACTCTTTTCATTAAACTATTTTAGCCAGCACTACTTCAGTGATATCTTCTATCCCTTAGGTCCAGGAGAAAATTTGAAAATTTACTATAAAGATCACAGGCTTTTGGTAACATAATACTAATAAAGGATGCCTGAGTGCTCTTTTCAAGTGTATCAGTAAAGGGAGACCACGCAAAAGATGGTGAACATCTTAAAATAAAGGAGACGGAGTTGAAAGATGTTTGTAAACCTTCAGCCTGTAATGATTTCAAGTATTTTAGGCTTAAAGGTGGAGATTGTTTGTTTATTTGCTCCCTTGAGATTTTGCCTGAATAAGAGAAGGCGAAATAATAGATGTCCAGAAACACTGCCTTAACACATCAGAACAAACAATTGTTCAAATTGGGCCAGTTTCCTCCCCAGTGACAGACACAAACCATCTAAATAATGAAATGTATTAGGGTAAAAGTAAAAAAGTTCATTGTCTATTATTTTTCTCATAGTTTTGTAAGTGCAGTTGTTGGGACTGATCTGGTTTTCAAAGGAGCTTGTACATGCAAATTCATACTCTGAGAAAACTGACCTTTGCATCCAGATAGCTAAAATCCAATGTCACTTTCAATTCTACTCTTCTCCTTTTTTTTTTTATGTAGCTAGAATTAATGTAGTGAATATGTAATGAAATGCATTATCCTGCATGGAGATTTATCAGATTTTCCGACTGAATGCTATGCTTTGCTAGTACTAGCTGGAGTTCACCTGCATGTTGGTGTGGCGTGTGGCTCTTTTTTGTAAAGAGTTAAGTCGTACACAAAAAAAGGGAACAAAGGTCAGCACCCAGCCGCCACTTGAATGTGAGATTTTTCTTTTTATTCCCCTTGATGTATACTAGGCTCTGTGTTATTAGTCTTAATGATGGAAAATTGTAGTGTTGATACAAATCTTTTTTTCAAAGTAGTAGGCGGGAGCTCCATTTGTTAGTAAGTTTTTTTGTGACTAAAAGCCATGGACAGTACATTTATGTAGCAGTAAAAGGCCTAGATGCTCTTTCCATAGCAGAGCTAATTATTCCTACTGTGACCTTACTGATCTAGCCTGTTCCTAGTACATCTCATCTGCACGCCTGTTCCTCTGTGTAGATGGTGTCAGAGAATATGAAAAACCCTATAATGAAACCATTTTCATGATGGAGAAAGGCTACTGGAGTTGCACTTGCTACAAAGAGGCTCAATTATATGAGTAATTGTGATAATTTTCTACATTCATAGCCTTCAATGGGGAAAAAAGAATGAGAGCCACAAAGGAAAATTACTTTAACAAGAAAGTACAGAGAGTAAAAATGGAAGAAGAGACAAAAAGGGGAAAAAATAACCAGAAAAAAGTTTAAAAAATAGATCTGGAGGGAGGAATAGCGAGACAGGGAGAACAACAGAAATGCTCAAAAGCCCATGTGCAGCTGTGTTGCACAATTAAATTGAATTTTTTTTTCTGCAGTTGATGAATGTGACTACTGCAAATGTGCCTCTGTAGTTAGCTATCATTTGTTGTTCCGTGACAGGAAAAGGATAATTACCTCTCAGAGAGAATCAAAGGCTGACATGCCCTTTAGACACAGCCATGAATGCAGAGCTCGATAGAATGCTTGAATAAGAATCTAGTGTTCTCTGCCCCCTTCTACTGAAGAATAAATTTTGTTAAAATGCAAGAGCACCACCAGTAAATTTGTTGAACCCTAGGTGTTCAAAAATATGAGGTACATCTATCGACTCATCCCATTTGCAAAAATAAAACTGCATTTTGAATTCATTTCTATTATATTCATGGACAGTAAGATAGTGAGATATGCATTAAATTTCTTTTCCCAGTAGGGGTCTGATTCAACATTTCCTATGAAAGAACAGAGAGACACTATCCTTTTTTCCCAGGCTAGTTAGCCTATAATTTAAAACTGTCAAAAACACAATTTTGTTCAAAGTCTTCAATAAAAGCTTCTCAGATATAACCCAAAGAGATTTTACTAAAGTTTGATTCAGACACTGTTACAATATTTTTAAAGCCATAAATACATTTAACTGATATTTTACTGCCTTTTTCTCAAAGTATTTGAAGGCTTACAAAGAAAAAAGGCAGCATCTTTTCAAGGTGACTAAGCCTTCCATCCTTTAGGCAAATGGGAAGTATTCAGGTTCATATTAATAAGGACAGTACTTTAAAAGGCACTGATGTGATCATCTTTAACAAAATGCATTACTTTTAAATGAAAACACATATTCTGCATGTCTACTGCAAAACAGTTATGGGGAAAAAAAGATCTAAAAGTAGGTAACAAATTACAAAGAGAAGTCTTGAATTCAGGAAATACGCATTCACTCAAAGAACAAGCACAGAATATACTATGTGGAAAATAAACAATGGTTTACAGGAAAAAAGAAGCCAGACAAAAAAAGGACAGATCAGCCTTTCAAACTGTTTGCTAATCTATTTATTTGAAAGGTAAGCTTGCTTGGGCTAACTAATGCTTTCTACTTTTGTGTCACAGGAAAAGTTTCACTTCTTCCCTTTATAAATTTCACTTTTTTCCTGTCTCATTACCCCAGGGTTGGGAAACTTATCCCCTTCTTAGGGGCTTTCTTTCATGTTTGGGGGATTTTTGAATAAAGGAACACTATATACACACCAACATGTCAAGCTAAAACTAAAGCAGTCATATAGATACTGCTTACAAGTTGCTTTGCTGACCCTGGTAAAATTCATTTTTTAAAAAACTTTTTTTTTTTTTAACCCTAGGAACAACATTACAGCCTGGTAGTTCACATACTGATAGCAGACTGAAATGATGGTTCTGAATCATAAAACATGTCATCAACTTTATACAAGCCACCAATAACCTTTGTACCATTTGCCAACCCTCCCTTTACTTGTCAGTGTAAGGCTTACCTGATTGTGTTTCCAATTACAGAGAAGGGAGCCCCCGCTCTGCAAGCTGCAATTGCTTCATCTCTACACCTCTTGGCCACCTCCACTAACTTTTTACCACATTCATCCACATTGCCCACCAAAAATGTTTCAGAGGTGTCTCCATGGTAGCCATTGTAATACACCTAGACACAGACCGAAATTTTAACACATCCTTGTTTAAAAATCTTCTCTCCTGAAATACACATTTTGTTCATTATGTATTTAGTAGATTCGTGTGTTTCACTCTTCCAGAATTTGAATCAAGGACTGGATATGCCAAAACCTTGCAGGAGTTAAAAAGATGAGACCGTATGGTATAATGATAATGCAAACATTTTAAATAAACAAGAAACTAGTATGGCCATTCAGGTTTATCATTAGTGACACTATTGTGACATTTTGACTCCTCACTTTATGTCTGAGAAGCCATAATTATATATGCAAAAATTAGTGACCAAAGACATTGGCCCACAACTACCACAGAAGGTTTGGAGAACCTAGAAGTATTTAATAGAAAAGTTTCTTCAGCATAATGAAGACACAGACCTTTTATTTACCAGTTCTACACTTGGAAATGATAGGTTATGACTAGAAGAAATAAGCTAGTCATATCAGTATTCTAATAGACAGTAGGAGAATTTTGTTCCAATAACTGAAGCAGCTCAATGTGAAAATGAAGTATGACACCAAAAATCCTGTCCAGAAGATGCTTAATCAAATACTTCAGGGAGCAAAATGTTAACAGAAAACACTACATACAAATTTTAGAAAAACAGAATTTGCTAGAATATAACAAAACAGGTTTAAGAATAAAATTACAGAAAATATAATTTTATCAGTCTTCAATGATGCAATGGTGTCTAGGTACTAGACACCAGATTCATTATAAAAATCAATGATTACTAAACACTATAATAAATGCAGAAGGCGAAGAAAGACTGGTTGATATTGATCCTTTGATACAGCAATGGATTTGCTAGTTTGCATAAATTTGTCCCATGTAATTATTCTACACATTTAGGAACTATTACAAAGATATTTATATAGAATTTTCTGTTTTAATACTAAACTAATGTCCTAAGTCTGCATACAAAATGCATTTAAATATTACTTTCCTATATTCTGAGGGAAACATGAAAAATGTTTTTATTAACTATCAGGAAACTGAGGCACAAACTAGTAACCTATCAAACTGAGGCACAGACTAGTAACTAGTAACCTATCTAAGGTCAGTGGTAGAATACAGAGATAGATCCAGGTTAATTCCATGGATTACTGGCTTCTAATCAAGTGTTTTCTTTGCTATAGCCTTAATCACCTTAATTGCCTTGGAACAATGTTTTATACATTTGTCCCCATTTGCAATCCAAGCAAGTACAAGTTTCAGTTTCATATGTTCAGTATATAACATCTGTAATATGAGTTAGTAAAAAAAAATGTAAATGAATATCTCTGCATAATAGCAGTTAAGCAAAATGCATTTTTAAATCTTTATTTTTTTATATTATTTTTTGCTAGCTTTAAAAATAACTGGAAAGGCCCAACATATATGAAATATATAATACTTTTTGAAAGTCTATGCAAGTATCTGTAATCACACTTTGTAAACACAAACTACTCTTGTGTTTTACTTCAATTACTCAAAAACATTTGTTGAGCAACTACAATGGGCATCACATTGTCCTTTTTTTTTTTTTACATTGTCCATTTTTTAACATCTAATTTTCAATGGTAAAGAAGCTACTTTCTTGTAATATGATGATGGAATAACTATAAATTGCAATGAGTATTTTCTGATAAGAGTACAGGACCTCTTAAATGGACTCCTCCATTTAGTATTTTACTTTGCTGTATGAGTTTTACCATTGTGAAACATTTTGGAATTGCTTATTAAAAGTCTTCAGGAAACTGAAAAGTGGCATGGAATATTGTCTTTGGCCACATTGAAAATTTGAGGGGAGAACATGTTTTCTCTCATTCAAAGCAGCAATATTTTATTAGGTGGTAACTAGGTGATTTGGGTGTAAAACCCCCAAACCAGTATAATCCAAAAGAAAAGTATGCCATGAAAAATATTTCATTTAAGGTATCCCATTCTACACAATTTTAAATTGGAAAGATACCAACAGAATATATGTGAGACAAATGTTCACGTATTCTAAGTAGGGCAAGGTGGCAGAGGAAAGCATATTAGCAATAAAAGAATCTTTGGCTATATACTCACACAAATTGATATGAAGATAAAAGGCTGAATTAATTTAAACAACTAAAAATCTGACTGAGTTCAACTACTGGATGCTAACTTCTACCTCATTCATACTCCTACCAAAGTTTCACACTCTGGATGTAAAATAACTATTAAAAATATTCCCTCATTAATAAAAACTATACACCTAGAACACTATCTGTCTGCCTCACCAACTCATCACATGCTTAAATTACATTTATTTATTTAAAATATATTAGTCATCAGGTGTACAGAAATAATTTACAGTATAGATAGCCCAAACATACCATTATAAAATTTCTTAGTAAAATAATTGCCAAAGAACAAATGTGAAATCTGAGAATAATGAAAGGTTAAGAAAAGTAAAAAGGTTAGAGCTTGTGCAATTTGATGTTGCTATGTTAAATCACTTAGTGTTGTTATGTAAAATAAAGGTTATTAACTGCTTGATGAAAACTTAAGCTCACAGAGAAAACCACTCTGCTTGTAGGTTTCGAGTTCAAGGCTCTCTGTATCAGAAATGGAACACGACGTTACCTTCAGGGATTTTAATAAATCTAAGGAACACTGCTAGCAAGAGAGTTGCTGTCCAAATAGACTGACACACACAGGCCAATGTAGCCCCTAATGACAGAGTAAGATAATGACAGGCCCCACTCAAAATCAGCAGGAAGAGGAAGATCAATCTTGGCAGAGTGAAGGAAAAATGCCGGCTTTCTTCGCGTTAGCTCATCTCATACACATCTAGCTCCAGCAGCTGCCCAGTGCTGTGTGCTCTGCATTAACCACACAGTGGATCAATAACAATTACACCTTCTCAAAAACATGACACATAGCAGGATTGGGTTGACATTTCACTTAGGCCAACATTGATCTCAGTGCATCTGATTCCAGCCCTAAATTCAAGTCAGGCCTGGGTTTACTTGGAATAAACACAGAGTTAAAGACAAAAAAGGAAACCAGCTGCTTGTGTCTGGGGCTAGAAGTAAACAGCACTTCCATCGGCGCAGTTCACATTTTCAATCCACTCTTCTTCCTGTTGCTACCAGCAATTCTGAAGTTGATCAAAGACTATTTTTTATATGATTTACTCACCGTGACATCAATGTTGATAATATCTCCATCCTGAAGAGGTCGACTGAAATATAAACAGAAAAAGAAAAAAAAGGTGATAGATCTCAATACGAGGGATATAAAAATAAATGCCTAATGACTACTATCACAAACCCAATGAGTCACAATGATAATTTGGGGTAGAGGAGGCATAAATTGAGTAACTCTATCTAATTTTTAACTTATGTTAGTCACATCAAATTTACAAGAAATGTCTGATATGAACAATGTTGCTATTGTATAAAAGTCCTTAAAATCATGTAGTTAACATTAATTTTGCAAAGAGTCAAAAGAATAGTTGAGAATTAGTATTTATCTACATTTGGATTTTTACTATTCGTAGGATGAAAGTCTAAGGAGACAAAATAAAGAATGCACAACCACTGTTTTAGATTACATACTCTTTAGCAAACATTAAGCGGTGGTTTTATGTCCACTTAGACACAAAATACCTCAAAATTTTTGTTTTACTAGAGTCAGCTTCAGAAGTTTGCAGGTGGGTTTCAATTAAACTACAGTGTCATTCAACATATGTTCTAGATCTTAGCTACATGTTTGAATTTCCAAAGGAACAATATGTTATTAAGCAATGAATACCTGTCAGGAATACCATGACATAGCACGTTGTTTACAGAGGTACAAACAGATTTTGGAAAACCTCCATAGCCTAGAGGTGAGGGATAAGCATCATGACTGATGATTTCCTGATGAACAAGAGCATCTATTTCTTCAGTTGTCATGTCAACCTAAAATATTAATAAAGAAGTTGTGCAGTGACAGTTGAAGACATTTCCTATACTTAATGACTATGCCTCTAGTGATAGCACTTTCAGATATAAATTTACTGTATGAATTTACTCTGATAATCTTGTCATAGAACAATTTAATTAACATTAAAACCCTAAATGGTAACTTTTGGACAATCATTTGGGTATAGGTTGGTGTTATAGACTATTAGGAAATGGAAATTTTAAATATTATCCAATAAATCATTTGTGAGTCATTATAGATGACTCTTTTTTAGCCTGAAGTTTTTTTTTTTTTTAGAGATTTATTTATTTATGCATACAGAACTGGGGTACAGGCCAGAGGTTCAGGGGCTTTGAGAGAATTCACCAGAGAAAGAGTGGGAAGCAGAACAGACAGATCAATGAAGTACACTGCTGAGGGGAGCAGCAGGCTAGACAGGAGAGGTCTCTTGTGCCTTGTGGGTCACCTCTGGGGTGGGGGTCAAACTCACACTAAAGTGGCCAGAGCCAGCCTCGGAGTGCTGCAATACAAGCCACTGCACCACCAGGGAGGACCCCTAGTCTGAAGATTTTTTAAAAGTATATCCCTAGGCAATTCCTTCCTCTTCCTCAGTAGTGTCATAGGCTATATGAAGCATGTAAATAAACACAAGGATCTTTGGTTTAAACTGTAAAGTCTGAAAAGTAGGCCAACCTTATTACTTCAGTGAAACATTACATGGGTTTTTCAGTAATGGCATAGAGATTATGGATCGCTCATATATTTTAGAGTTTGCTTTTAATTACTCTTGATTTTGTTCATGCTTAAATAAGTCAGTTTTTTAAAAAAGTATTTTCCTTACTAGAAGACATCCAATTGCTCCCAAACTAAAAGAAACCAAGTTTCTCCAATACATACAGCTCATCACTGTTAAATCATAACTCATCAATAAAGTTCCAAAACAAAAATTTGATTAAAAATTTACTCAAAAAATTTTTGAGTGATTATACCCTTTGAGTCTCACTTCCTAAAATTTGCCCACCTTTTGGAAACTACAGGCCTATGTTTTCTTTTATGATCCTTATGTGCCAGGGTGGTTATTCTGAAATCTAAATATTGCTATATTATTCTAATTTTGTGCATTTGGTCTTATCTTTCTTTGCTGGGCTACTATGGAAAAAAAAAAGGAGACAAAGGATGAGATAGAGCAACTCTTCAGGCACACAGAAATAATGTGGGGGATAAAAGCAGAAACTACAGGCAGAATTCAGGGGGCAAATGTCAAAGCCATCTGCCATTGATCAAGTTGGATAGTTTGATTCAGCTCAAAGTATCTCTAAATTTCTGCTGCTTATCATTGAGTTTATATTTTAAATGATCACTTAGATAAACACACACAAAAAAGCTCTTTCCCTCCTCCCAAGGCTCTCCTTTATTTTTTAACCAATTAGATATGTACAAAAGAAGAGTTAAGGGGGGGGGGATAAAAAAGGGTATGTTGTCCTTCTGAGACTTGGTGAGACACCACCTTTAAACTCTTTCCAGCCAGGAGGAGGACATGACGGGCCAGCTGACAGGCCTGACGAAGCCCTTGAATCTGATCTTCATTCTTAACTTCTATGCTGTCTCCCCAGTCGGGTACAATGCCTGTCGTCACATAGTCTGGCTTCTTTATGTGCTTGAGGAAAAAGGATTGAAAACGAAGATCAGAACCCAGCCCACGACAATGGGATCATTTTTTTCGGACACAGCCTCCTGCTTCATGGAGCTCTGCCCTTCCTGCGAGAGCACCGACCTCCGAGGCCAGCACAACAGACCCTCCAGGCTGCCCCAGTTCCTTCCCCTGCCCTTTTGAACTTAACATTGCCTGCGAGTGCTGCCTCTGGATGGTCTGTTAACCTTACCATGCTTTGAGTCAAATTGGACTGAAGTAGACTTCTGGTCAAAACAAACAGTCGTTTTCTTTTCTTCTTCCTCCCAACCCGTTAGAAGCATATTGCCATTAATGAAAAATAGCACCAAATTGCCAAATGGTTAATTAAGAGCATTTTCATCTTCTTAACACAAAGATAAAATATATGCAAAGGATAGCTTAGGACACCCTCTCAGAATAAATATATGTAACAGGAGTACATGCCTGTTACATAGACACTTTTCTTATACTTTGCAACTTTGTACTAAAACTAAGAGGTGGGGGAATAAAACAGCTTTCTTTTTCCTTTTCCTTTCTTTTTTTTCAAATACATAAAAAAAACCTAGAACATTTTTCATTATTTTTCAAAAGCAAACACAAACACCCCCCCCCCCCAATTCAATACATTCAACACTGAGCACCCTTGTAGAATTCTCCACCACTTACTTAAATCCATGGGCGGTATTCAGAAAATAAATACTATCTCACACACAGAGCTTCTTTCAGTCCCAAGGTTTTGTCCAGCTCTTTACAAGCTATTTATAGAAACTGCTACATAAGCATTGTTGAATAGTACCCAGTAAGGCTACACTGCAGTTGGGGACAGGAAGCTGAAGGAGATAACACTATTCAATTGACATCACAGCAACTCTGGAAAGGCTGAGGTTGGCACTCAGCTCTTTGTGAAGTGCAGAATTTAAGGACCTTCACTTATTCTCATGTCTTGATGGGCCTTTCAGACAGAGGTAATACCATTGCCTGGTTGCCACAGTGGAGGTCTAGGTGAGCATCTCTTTCCTATAACTTCACCCCAGTGCTCACAAAGGCTCACCTGGTCTCCCCCACAGACTCTATGCTCTTGTCTCCACTCTGCTTTGTGACCTGGGTCAAATTATACCTATAAGCAGAAAGGCTGTTGGGCTGCCACTAAAATTCTAAAACAATACATTTACCTCTCACGAGGTTTCTTTTTCTTTCATACTAAGGAAATATGAGGAAGATGTCATAGCCTGTATCCTGAGTTATAGCCATAAAAATGGACTATTCACCTTCAAGGAGTATTACACTTAGTGTTGGTTCACTGTAAGAAAAAAAATGCATAAAAGAGGGAAAGCTGATGATTTCTGTGACAAATCTCTATTTCTTTCAGCTATTTTCGTCTTCCTAAATGACCCCCACACCTCCTTTATACTGCATTTTGAAAAATGGATAGATTGTCTTTCCACAGAATTGTAATCTCTGAAAAAAATCAAGAATGCTCGGAGATAAGACATTTTATTTAATTTACTTTAAAGGACAATTCAACGACAGCAGCATTAATAATGTGGAAAATGTAAGAACAGGCTTTAGTGAAAAAACTGTCTAGTATATGAGTTTCAATTAATCTCTATTGAATGATCCCAATTTTCTGGTCAGTTTTTTCTTAAAAGTTAGGAAACTACATACAAGTAGTTTTATCCTACTGTTAGAAATTTCATATAAAAATTTCATGAAAGAAATTTTTTGAAATTTAAATGAGCTAAGGAGTTGTAAGCTCAGCACATTATTATAAAAAATTAGCATTTCAGAACTGCAGGATATTAAAACTTGCTAAATCACAAACCAAGTTTAAAAATTACAATTCAAACGGCTCAGAATTCAAAGCTGCAAAAACATTTAATCGCTTCTGCAGTTAACCTTTATCTTGGCTGGAAAAAGCAGCAGATAATAGGCAATACGGTACCTTAGGGACTGGATGAGCTGAAGAAACTGCAGCCGGCAAAACTATACTGTGTGAAATATCTCTTTGTCTCCGGAAAAAGAAATTTCTTCTTTGTTGACTGCTTGACTGCTTGTGTAAGTAGACATGATTGAGTGATGAAAAGAAAATTCTATGATAACCTATAAGCAGAAATAGATATGTTTTAAGTTAAAAAAAATTCTTACTGTTACATTTTAAGATGTTGATTGTTGTCTATTAAATCATTATTCTAATTTATTATTGACTCAAAAAAGAAAAGGCTGAAATAGAAAGGAAAACAGTAGTATTCTGAGTTCTAGTACAATAGTAGCACAGCATATTTATTAGCTAATACTATGTTTACATAAACGTTTGACAATGGAAAACTCTACTCTAATGGGAAACAAACATATAGAACCATCTGCTAAACACTACATCTATAAAAAGAATTTTTGCTATACAGTACCTTACACAGCAATGTCCAAGATGACCCTGGATTTGGGGCACTGTTTGGGTGCCATTATATTACTTAAAGCTGTTTTCCTTTCAAGAATCATGGACAAATTGCCAGCTGCACTTTTTGCCCTCAATAGGATTACTACTTTGTGTTAAGTTCACGTGCAGTGAGGCATTATACCGAAATTCACTGTGATGAATGTTCAAGTAAGATAAAGACTAAATAGCAAAAATGTGGGGCATAATCCTGAAAGAAAATGAACATACATACCCATGACAGGAATTTAGAAATATCTATGAAAGATTTAAATGCACATATCCTTCAGCTTGGCAATTCATCTCCTAAGAGTTTACCTTGAAGAAATTATGCAATGATGAATGTACAGAAGATGTATTTTCACTGCAGTATTGTTTGTGGTAGGAAAAAAAGGGAAATAATCTAAATGCCCATCAATTGGGCCTGGCTAAATATTTTATGGCAGTTACACAACAGGAACTATGAAACTTTCAGAGAATAAACACAGTCATCTCAGTGTTTGATATAGAAGAGGCCACAATGCACAGTTAAGGAAAAAGCAAATGCTAAATACTATTATAAAAATAACAATAATACAAAATAAGTTTATACACTTAAATAAGCTTGTATGTGCCTATACATTTTCTGAAAATTGATACTCATCAGCAGTGGTTATTTTGGGAGCAGGTGATTGGGGGTTGTGGGTGGGGAGACTTTGGATTCATTTTATATTCTTCTGATCCACTAAACTTTTAAAACCACCATTTACATTAATTTTATAATTCAAACAATAGTTTAAAAAAAATCCCCATCATGCTTAATTGTCAGGGGATAGCAAACTACAGACTAGAACGTCAAATCTGGCTTGCCGCCTATTTTTATATAGCTGATGACTAAAAATGATTTTTACATTTATAAGGGGTTGTAAAAAATAAACAAAGAGTACCTTGCAACATATGAAATGAAATAAAATTCAAATTTCAGTGCCCATAAATAAAGGTTTATGGGAACATAGGTACATGTTCACTTACGATGATCTATGACTACTGTTGAGTTACAGGGGCAGAGTAGTTGTGACAGAAACCATCAGCTCACAGAGCCTAAAATATTTGCTACCTGGTTCTTTATATAAAAGGCCTGCTGACTCCTGGTCCAGAGCACAGGTTTTCCCATTGTAGTACCTACACTGCTAAGCAGTATCAGCATCACAAGGCCTCCAGCCGTTCCTCAATTTGCTGACTCCAACTCTGGGGGGCCAGAACCTGTGCTTTAACAAGCTCGCAGGGTGATGCTGATGCATGCAAATGTTAAGAATTACTACCTAGAGTCACCTTTCAGCTGTGAAACATGATAGAAACATGAACTACAGGTGACAACTGACTCCATACTCAAGATTTCAAGTGAATTAGAAAAAGCTGCTGAAGCAAAACCTTGGTCAGTGATTCAGTGTCATTAATTTTCACTCAATTATGTTCATCCATAAAGTTGAAATTGATATTGTTGAATCAAACTTACAGAAGTGTTGTAGGGATTATTTTGGACAATTCCAAACATCAGACAAAATACTGGCAGTAACATTAGAGCTGTGTCTCAGCTCTGCCACTTTTTAGCTGTATGGCCCTGAGCAAGTTTTCTTTGAGTCTCAGGTGAGAATTAATCAGAATAAAGTATGTGAAAGTGCCTGGCATTTTAATAGAGGACCAGTGAATAATATTTCCTTCAAGAATATTTAAAAAGTAAAATGAGAAAGAAAACATGGGCTCCAGTATACCTTCTAATACTGGGCACTTCTGTCTCAACTACTGAACTAGGCATTCCACATATGTTAGCTCATTAATGTATCATGAGATTGTGAACTGCTATCTTTCCATTCCACAGCTGAGGACACTGAGGCACAGAGTAGTAAGTCACTTCCCTAGAGACACACAGTGCCAAAGCTGAGGGAGAGCAGGTCAAGTTGTATTACTTCTTCCAAACCCATGAGAAAAAAAATGAGCTAACAACACATGACCCAGAAAATGTCAAAAGCATTATAAAGCCATTAAAAGTTACTACTGCCACCAAGTCATTTGCCCCAAATGGTGATGGGTTAACCTAATCCACCCACTCTCTCTCTCTCACGTTCCCTTTGCTAACCAAGCCATATGGTGGCTGGCCCAAGTCAGTTGGGCAAACTGTGGCTATGGAATGGAAAATCTGGGTGGGTCCCAGCAAAGACCCAGGTGGAATCTATCCAAGACTCAGGCCCCTAACTGCATTTCTCGGAAAGAACACAAACAGGACACAAGCTGACCTGTATTTACCTTCCGAGGAAAGTATGTATCATGGTTACTTTTCATTGATACCACAAAAAGAATAATTGTGGTTAATATTTAATAGCCATTTCCTTTGAGCTCAGTAGTAGGTATTCTACAAATACAATCTCTAACCAACTCTGGAAGGTAGGGAGGCAGCTGTGGGCATCACTATTTTATAGACGAGGAATGAAGGCTCAGATTTCTAGTAGAATGGCTGTCCCCAATGCGAATTCTCTAAAGTTAAATCCAGGACTGTGCATATCTCTCCAAGTTGCCTCTCAGAGTGCAGAGGGACTCTAGCAGCAAGCTTTGCTACAGAATAGTTTTGTTTTTTTTTTTTCAGGGACTGGGTTTTAAGAGACGTTTTGTATTTTCTTTTTTAATTATGAAAAAAGGTATGGGATAAGCCAACATTTAGAGCGACCGTCCTGTTCCTGAAAATTCCTATAAGTGGGCCCTCCCTGGTGGGAGCAGGGGGTTAAGATGCAGCACTGCAAGCTAGTCACTGCCACTTCACTGCAAGTTTGATCACGGCCCCAGAAGTGATCCACTTGGAGCAGCAGACCTCTCCTGACCCACCCGCTGCTCCCTTCAGCAGTGTACTTTGTCGATCTGTCTGTTCTGCTCCCCAATCTGTCCCTGGTGAACCCTCTCACCACCCCTGCACCTCTGGCTTGTATCCCAGTTCTGTATGAATAAATAAAAATCTTAGGAAAAAACAAAAACAAACAAATAAAAAAAAACAAACAAGAATTGCTACTCATTAAAAAAAAAATCCTAGAAGTGACCTATTTTGGTAGTGGGTACAGGATAAACGGTTAGAGAGATCTTGTTAGCAAGACTTCTGAAATGGAATCCTTCTATAAGCCATATTCTGGATGCAGCATGAAAAGTTGACAAAGTCCTTGTTCTCAAGGAGACTGGATACTGTGGTGGTGTGTAGACAAGAAATACATTAGATTATAGCACATGGTGGTGATATGCATAATTTTAAAAAAGGGTAAGAGTGACAAGCATTGGAAGACACCTTGGATTTAAGGTTCTATTCCTGACCCTGCCCACAGCAAACTACATGACCTGGAGCGCTGGCTGGGAGTTTAGGGGCTTCATGCTCTCTGCTGAGCTCTGTGATGAAGGTTTAGTAAAATGAGGGTGCTGAGCTGTACAGTCTTTGAGGTCCCTTTCAGCTCCGATATTCGTGCCTTCATTCAGTAGCATTTGGTTGTCATGCTGGAACCTGGGCAAAGGAATGCTGTATATGCTGATGGATTGTAGGACTCATCAAGTTTTTTCAACGCATCTGATTACATGAAAGAGATCATCTTTATCAGAATTATCAGGTTCCAGTACACAGTCAATACAAGGGAATCTTTTCTTTCTTTCTTTCTTTCTTTTAAACCAGAAATTTATTGCCTGGCTGCTGAAATCCTTACGATGAACTGGACACTACAACAGAGGCCCTCTTGGGTTTCGGTGTTGTTCCTTCACGGAATCCATGCCAGAATCCGCGATATACAATTTTTAGGTGCCTCATTCCACCAGTCCCGCTGGTATTTCGTCTTTGGGCCTTTGCACTCAAGTTATACTTTCTCTTCCACTTGACAGGATAGCCACACTTGCCGCAAGTTGACATCTGCTGATGGTGGGCCTTAGAGCCACAGCGGCGGCACAACCTGTGAGTCCTATTGCGACGCTTTCCGAATGAGGACGTTCCTTTCATCATTTTGCTTCTGCTGCTGGGGCCAAAGAGTCCAAGGGAATCTTTTCTTCTCTCTCTCTTTTTTTAAGATTTATTTATTTGTGCATACAGAACTGGGGTACAGGCCAGAGGTGCAGGGGCAGTGAGAGGATTCACCAGAGACAGAGTGGGGAGCAGAATAGGCAGATGGATGAAGTACAGTGCTGAAGGGAGCAGCGGATGGGTCAGGAGAGGTCTGCTGGACCATGTGGGACACCTCCTGGGTGGGGATCCAACTCACATTGAAGCGGCAGCGGCTAGCTTGCAGTGCTGTGCCCTAACCTGTTGGCCACCAGGCTGGGCTAGGGAATCTTTGCTATGTTCTTAAAGTTGACGCAGGAAGTCATTGGAACTAGCTTATCTGGATAAGGCTTTTGAGACTTTTCAGGGATGAGCAGTGTTGCTGATGTACCTGTCCCACCATACATGACTCAAGCATGAGGGATACCGCCTGAACAAATCCAATCTGTTGACAATTACAGTTCTGCAATGCTCTCTGCAATTCCACTTTAATGAAATGCTTTAAAAAAATTGAAGCAAAATCTTTTCTTTCAGTCTGATAAAAGAAAACCTATAAATGTTGTCACATGGTAGTAGGATAAGGTGCCATACCACATTTACTCCGCTAACTATTCATTACAAAGCAGGAGGGAA